TTCACGTTCAATGCCGGCCCCATCGCACTGGCAGTCAATTTCTTCACACCCATCGACCCGACAGATCTCAAGCGACTGTCACTCCCGGCCTCTTATATATCGGTGAGCGCCTGGTCTCTGGATTCGGACACTCATGAGATTCAGGTATATCTCGATATAACTGGCGAATGGACTTCCGGTGACTCCAATGAAGAGGTGGTTTGGGATATGAAGGAAATAAAAGGCAATAAAACCATAATTACTGGTGATATGAGACTCAAGAATCCACAGATATTTAAGGAAATTAGTGGTAATTATGAGTAATTACTATAAACTGAACACAAATTTTAATTTAGCCATATGAATGCCCCCATGTAATAATATTCATTTTGATATTTAGTCTCATTTTGATAACTTTTGATTTGAAAAATATTCATCTTTTCAATCAAAAATATTATCAATAAAATGAGTATTTTAAATCGTATAGTCATAAATACTCTTGATAACTTATAATTTACGTATATATTATATGTCATATTTTTGGTAATTAATAGTATTTTCTATGAGTGATTTGTTTAAAATTAATTTTATTGATAACATTTTTGATTGAATGAATGATTATTTTTCAAAAACCAATTTTACTAATAAGAGATTATTTACACGGATTAGAGAAATAAAAAGGTGCTTCACAAATTTTTTTATTCAGTTTATAGTACTTATTGTATAATTATATTGCATTCAAAGTTAACTTATTAATGATTGTCTCACAAACAGAATCGTCTCAATGGGGAAGATTCAAGTTCTTCACGGATTCTATGGTCACTCACGAGGTATCCATAAATATTTCATAAGTAAACTCATCTAACAATTCATTGGCACCGGTAGGCCAATGGTTGTGAGGGAATGCGCTCTAAATTCGTAAAGAATGGTCGACTCGACAACATAGTGACCAACACTTACCGCAAAATCCACGACAACTGGCCAGGTTTTGGTTTCGCCCGCACTATCACTTCCAGGCCATTGAATGGTGGAGCTCCCAGTGTTGGATATTATGGTATGGCACACGTCAGGCGCCCCGCAATTGAATACACGGACTCCCAGTTGAATCAGCTCTGGGAAAGCTATTTCAGTGGCGATGACAATAAAATGGTGCAATTTGTCTACGAGGACAGGGAGGACGCCCTTAAACGTGCCAATGCTCTCGATAGTAAGATCGTAGGAGACGCTCAAAGGATTGGAGGGGATAGTTATGTGAAAGTAGTTTCGGCAGCACTTAGACAGGTATGTATTCATTAAATGCTTTATAATATAATATAAGGTTTATATGGACACTGTTTCTCATAATCATTAGTATTTATTACAACTGTCCATTCAATTACAGTAAAATTGAATTCAAGAAAAATAAATAATATTGTTTGTAATTTTGTTAATAAATCTGTTGTAGAATTCACACAAAAGACCGAATCAATTGGATAATAAACGTGTGGAAAAATTAGTCCCAGTTCAATCTCTGTATAATAGTTCAAATTCTAATGATATCCATTCAGATTCTTCCGATTCTGATCAGGGAAATGATAGTGACATTGAAATAATAACTAATTATAACTCAGATTCTGATGTCAATTAAGTGATATGTCATTTTAATAAAAATTTGCTTATTTTTCATAAATTACGCGTAATTTGCATGGTTAATTATAAGTAAATACTGTATGTACTATCGACTATAATTGTAATTAACAATTATTTATTTATAACGAGTAATGTGATTTAGGGGAACCTTAATTTTGAACAATTAATGATTAGATATTAGATTATCAAATCATACCTTTCAATGAAAAAGTAATCATTAAAACAATACGTTTTTTAAATAACTTTATGATAGGCTTATGGCGGCACTGAAATGGTGGGCACAGCTGCCAAGCCATGGATGATGTTGAAGGAGATCTCATCCAATGGCAACTGTCAGACAGTGGATGTGATTTACCCTCACTTTCCCGTTCAGTTATATCTGAACCCAACTCTACTGCGACTCCTTATGGAGCCATTGCTCGACAATCAGGAGAGAGGGTTCTTCCCCAAGAAGTATTGTATCCATGATTTGGGGACTCATTATCCCCGTTGTATTGGACACACAGATGGCAAACAGGAGGACATGGAGGTGGAGGAGAGCGCCAATATGGTGATCATGATGTCAGCCTATGTCAGGGCCACTAATGATAAACAATTTGCTCAAAAACACTATAACATCGCAGAACAGTGGACACAGTATTTGGTGGATCACGGGTTGATCACCGGTATTATCATTATTATAACCTGTAATCATAGGATTTATTGTTAATCTTAAAAATTTAATTATTTTAGGCGACGCTCTAACCACTGATGACTTTTTGGGCAAAATCAAGAACTCGACAAACCTCTCACTGAAAGCCATTATAGGCATCGGAGCTATGGGTCAGTTGGCGGAAGTGGTCGGCAATCATGACGACCAACAAAAGTATAGACAAATCGCTGAGAAATATGTGACGGAATGGATTCGTATGGGAGAAGACCCCTCTAATAAACACATGAAACTCAGTTATAATGACAACAACACCTGGTTTATGATCTATAATCTCTATGCGGACGTCATTTTGGACACCAAATTGGTTCCCGAATCGGTTGGATTTATTTAAAAGTAATTATAATGGTGATAATTTATTCACTTTTTGTGTATATGAATAGATATACAAACAACAGGACGAGTGGTACCTATCGATGCAAAATTATTATGGCGTACCCTTAGGTAGTGGTACACCTCATACAAAGTTTGATTGGGTTATGTTTACGGCCGCCGCCTCCACTAACGCCAAACTCCGACAGTCTATGTTTGATAGGACTGCCCAATGGCTTCGGGAAACGCCAGACCACGTGCCCTTCTCGGACTGGGTTGACACACAAACTGGTGGTTCCCGAGGATTTAAGAATCGTCCTGTTATTGGGGGTGTATTCGCGCCGTTGACTATTAAACACTAATATATGGTTTACATGAATTAAAAAATCATTTGTTTGCACTAATATAGAATAATAATTATATAATTATGTTATAGAATAATTATACTATATTTAATTAAAAGCTAAATTTGATTGTGTGTTATGAATAATTTACATAGATTTCAAAATAAGGGATACAAAGGGTTGTTCAAAATGTAACCCAAATATAAATGGACGAATAAGGATTTTAATACTGTTTTGAGATATGGATTAATGTTCATAACTTATATAAATCAATTTTTAATTTGTCTAAAAAATAATCGCATAAAAAATAAGATTTTTGTAAAAAATTTCCNTACATTCATAAATGCAATGATCTAAACTATCGATAAATAATCAGTTATTATATCAAGGTATTAGTAAAATTGTTTTTACATGTCTAGAAGTACCATATACTGTATAATCAATTCATAATATAGAAAATATTTCTTAATATAATTAGTTAATTATTTGAATAGGCGTGTGAAATATATGACCTTGTTAACCTTGTTGATTTGTTAACCTAATGACTAACGTTTAACATCCTATTACCATAAACATTAATTATCTATAAATGGATAGACATATAACCAAATCAGTCTTTTTGGAAAATAGCATTTACTGTATATTATACTTTTATTAAACTTTTATAATGAATAAGCACACTCATATTCATTATAAAAGTTTAATAAAAGTATAAT